AAAAAAGGTCAAAAACCGCAATTCTGTATCCGTTTGTCGGTCCTTGCCGAAGGCCAAAAAACCACAAATGGAAAAGTTACCGGTTCAAAAACAAAAAAAAAGAAAACTCAACGTCGAAAGGTACCACGGGACACAGGCTCGGCAAATTCGGTGCGCACTATAATTCAGGGTCGGCAAAAACAGGCTTGGAGGTACTAGTGGTTAAAAAAAAAAAAAAAAAAAAAAGATGTCGAAAGTTGCTCGGCAAATGGATATTGAAAACTTGACAACATCCCAGCATCCACTAAAACTGCACCGCACCACATGCCCAAGAAAAAATGAGTTCTTGGCCCCCAAATTGACTTTATGGGGGGATGGCAAGGGTAGCGCATCAATGGAGGACGATGGATGTGAGCGGTGAAGAACGAGGAAAACCGTGACACAAGGTTGGGGAAAGTGACACTCAATGAACTGTTCGAATACAGACCGAAGTTCGAATCCAGATGCATTAAGATGAACATAATAGAACAATTTTGAACTACCTGGGGCCAGTCAGTTCAATGATGACATCCCAAGATCGGGCAAATTGACACCCAGAAAGATATCGACAACAAGAAGAGGACTATGACGAGACAGTGGAGGAAGAGGGACGTGATCCAAGGAGTTCGGCCCCACTGGAGGGGGAGGAAACCTTGAGCATGAGGACTACCCTCTTCACCCGAATAGAACGCCCGGTCACTATCGCCGCATCTGGACAGAAAGTCAGCCCAAATACAACTATAATGACCGGTAAGAGGACTACAACAACAAGGACTGCAGGAGGAAGCTAAGCAATGGAGAGCATGTATCTTTGTAAGACGATATGACAGAGACACAACAAGCAAAATATGTATGTGACCAAAAAAGAAGGAAAAAAAAAAGACGTTGTGTGTGACAACGATATAACCATCGGGATCTTCGTGAAACAGTATCTTCGTGAGACATTGATGGGTAATGACTGTGACGATAAATCTGATGAGACGATGCTCGACATAAGCATGGTGAGCCGCAGGGAGGGAACGCAACGGCAGAAAGAAGAGGAGAAGAACTGGGGATGATGAAGAGGAGGAGGAGCAGGGCATCAAGTGGAAATGAAAGCTTTATGCTTTCGACCAGAAAAAATCAAAGCGACGATGAGGAGGAAGAAGGGGAAAAATGGGGAAAAGGAGGGGGAGAGGTTGAGGAAGGAGCATGATGAGGAATAGGAGTAAAGTAAAAGGAGGGCAAAATTTCTTACAAGTCTCCTGCTGTCCATACTGCCCGAAAACGGTGGTGCAGCGCTACTGGGAGCGCTGCGCCCGCCCGGGCCGGAACGACGGGTGCACCAACGAGCGTTGAGACGCGAAGCTGCGATGGCGCTTTCACGAGAGCACGACGGGTCAATATTTTGCGTGGCGATGACGCTTCTTAGAGACTTCCGTGGATGTGGAGACAGGAGGGCCGTGTGGTTTGAGTAGCCGTGTGGTGGGGGGGGGGGCACGTGGCATAGGGTTATAACGCCACTCCTTCTGTCCTCTGTGTTTTATCTATGTCTCTCGCTTCTCCGGTTCTTTGCTGTTATAGGTCGTTTTTTCATCGTCGTTGGATCTGGACTGAATTCTCTGTGAAGCTGTGTTGACGAGCTTGACATGGTCATTCACAACGCAACTGCGTTCGGGGAGTAAATGAGAGGCGGGGGCGTCCCAATAATCTCTTCTGGTTGGTGCACTTTGCCGTAAGGCTATACTAGCACCAACTGTGGGGAGGAGTGGCACCTTCTATAGGAAGAGGCAGGGTTTGAGTTTGGTCTGGGCAGCGGTCGGGCAGATGGATAAGGGAACTGCGGGAGCGGAGCGGTGCGTAATGGTCTGCAGTGATTGGTGATTTCAGGTAAAGTTCAAGGCGGCATCACATAGCGACGAAAGCTCTAAGTGCAACATTTTTCAGAATTTAACCCTAAAGTACTATTCCATTAGATGATTTGATGGTTAGGGATGCCTCACTGTTGTTTTGATATTTCCTTATATTTTCCGATCTCGACATCCAATGGATGATCTGTAAATCTGATTTTTGTCTGATTTTCAATTCGTAATTTCCTTTTTTTCATAAATTTGCAAGGAAGATGAGCAATAACGAACTTCAGAAATCAAACATCGTATAAACATGACACCAGATAATCGTGACCTCGAACCAGTAGCAGAATTGCATCATGAGTTTCAACAAATAAGGGCACACCAAGAACTCATAATTGACAATGCTGGAATAGTCTCATCATCATCAACGAAGAACCAATGTTGATATCCTATCTGGCGCTCGGCGCCCAGACTACAGATGGCCTATGAAACACCCTCGACGGCGGCCATCCGCGGACAAGTCCGCGGCCTCGGCCTAGGCCGCGACCCCGCGGACGTGTCCGCACGGCCGCGCGACTTTACGGCCGCATGGCGGCTAGCGGGGAGGGGGGTTCGGGATTTGGGAAGCGCGATGGGGCGGCACAACCCCAGCCCCACACCCTAAAAAAATAATAATAATAATAATATTTTTTTGGGTGGACGGGTTTGGGTGAGTGAAGGAATTAAAAAAAAAAAAAAAAAAAAAAAAAAAAAAAAAAAACGTGTTTTTTTCCTTTTTTTCTTTTTCCGTTGATTGATTGATTGATTGATTGATTGTCCCCAACAACGCGGTTTTGTTTTCCGTTAAGGAGAAAGCTAAGGTTTAAAGGGTTCCCTGGGGTTTTGTTTTTCAAAGCAGCTGAGGAGTTTTCTGGAAAAAACAAAGACTGCTGGAAGGGATGAGATATAATTATATCTGAGGGTCTGTTAGGAGGACAAAGATGCAATTTTAACATAAGACAAGCGCAACATGGTCTGTTAGGAGGACAGGGATGCAATGTTGACAAAAGGTTAGCGAGGCGTGGTCTAACACGCAGCACCAAAGGACAAGACTTTACGAACGACAGAGGCCCTACGAACAGAATGATGTCACAAGATATAACACTGGCACAGAAAATCCCATATCATGAATGCCGATAAAGATCCTGCATGCGTCGTCTTCGGTCCGGCTTGGGTACCAGCACGTGCGCTGCTCCAACGTTTTCACCATACACGGGTTCTGTAGGATACATGTGGCATCTACCTCATACCCCCACTCCCAATCTCCCTCCTCGACCATGGCTTCTACTTTGAGCTATCTCTTCACGCCATTATTTTCCGCCTACACCTTTTCCTTCAGTTTGTTTGCCTACCTTCTCCCCTGTTGCTACCTCGGGTCTCTTCCCGCCCGAACTATGGCAACACTACACGACTACCATTCTGACCTCTCCATTCCCGCTGATGATCTTTGTTCGTCTCTCTCTCTCTCTCTCTCTCTCTCTCTCTCTCTCTCTCTCCCGCCCACTCTGTCTCTCTCGTACAGACACAAGCGAACCCCCCCCTTTTTCCGCTATGAGACTTTGGTTGGATACTCATATGAGTCATATCTATATATGACGGGCGTATGAGGACTAGGTAGCGCAATTCCCCTGATGATGGCTGCGACGGCGACGCAGCCGAAACACGTTGGGAACTCTCACTGTGTTGCTCCTGTTTTTTACGATTTATGTTAACGGAGCAAAAAACAATTTGCGCTACCCAAGTGTCGTTTCTTCTTCCCTATCTTCAACTATCAATTCTCCTCTCCTTCTCTCCGTCACTACATTCTCCCTTGCTCATCGTGTGTCTCTGTGCTATGGCGATTCTCTTCCTCATAATGACTTTGGAGCCTTGAGTTGTAGCTTTAAGACTCACATTTCGCTCTTCGAGTAGCGTCTTAACCACCGTGCAATTTACAGTGTGGTGGAAACGCCATCGTAGTTATATCAAAGCCTATTTGGAGTGATCGGTTTCTCCCCGCCAGGACACGTGTCACTATTTCTCCTGCTTTTGGGTGTTTTCGTCTTTTTCTTTTCTATCTATCGATTCTTTCTCTTTCTATGTCAGCACCTCATCCTCTTCCCGCTCCCCCTTCCCAACAGACGACCGTGCAAGGATCGCAACCGCCAATACTGCAAGCTCCAGCGGCGACGTCATCAAACACAATTGCTCCTACGACATCAATGGCGATTGTCCCTTACCAGCCCCCGTGCACTGCTTTTGGCGGGTTGAATAGCCGAGGATGGAATAGAGGAAGGGAAGTAGGAATCTGTAGGATCGAAAGGAGAAGCTATAATGATCATGAGAGACATATGGAATGATCGGCGGGAGGAAAGGGAACGACGACGGGAAGAAGAGGATCGGAGGAACCGGGAGGAACAAGCGAGGTTGGCTCGTGAGGAAGAACAGCGACGTGCTGAGGCTGAAGAAAAGAAGGAGGCTAATCGAGAAGCAAGAATTGCACGACTCGTCATGGAACAGATTGAAGAGATGGAGGCACAAAAGAAGAGTGTCTCAAGGGAATCTAACAAGAAAGGTTAGAGAGGATTGAGAAAACAGAAAAGCCTCCCAAAGAAGGGGAGGGCTGCAAGAATGGCGAGAGTATGGCTAATCGTAAGAGAGATCAGGTTACAATGGCGGGTGATAATCTTGCTCCCCCGCATCAGGCGGCAGGAAGACAGCGGGTTGAAGGCAAGGCTTCCCCGTTGGACACTGGTCTGCTTCGGATGGACCTCGACAGTGTGAGAAAGGCGCAAGCCGCGCACTCTCTCCTTTTCCAAGAGATGTTGAACTGCCTAAAGACAATCAAGGAACAGGGCGCTGCTCTACTTACGCTTCCATCTATCCCACCTACTATCCCTCATTTTCCATCGCACCCTGCTTACCCTGTTCCCAATCCTCACACTGCTCCCCCTCC